ATTTAGAAACGAAAGAGTTGAGAAAGAAATATTACAGTTCTAGATTTACTATACCTCTGATATTGCAACCGAAACGGCTTCTTTCAGGTGCTGTTTCCCAAGTCCAGATCTGTAGTGAATCTCCTTTTGATTGCAAAAGCGTCGCACCGACCGCTCGCTTAATCCCCTCGTGTTGGGAAGCAATTCGTTAAGCACCTTACTAATTTCCTTGTATGATTTTCCCTCAACTACAAGCGTTCGGATGAATTCAGGATCAAATCTTTCCATGATACGTATGTCCCCCTACCTGGAGTCATGTACTTTCAGAAAGGAAAATTATAAAAACAGTACTCTTGCGGTCATACCGTTTTGGTAGCTCGCTTATGTATGCTACGCCTGTGATTGGATAAATGAAACAGGAAGTGTATACTTGGCGCCATTTTAATGACCGGCAGTTGTCTGCATTCAACAAAGATTAACGTGGGAGAAAAATAGTATTTCATTCCTCTTCATTTAACTTTGTTTAAATTTGGGATTTTAAAATTGGGAATCGATCGGAACGATAGTCTTTTTAGCGCAAAAAATGAAAAATGAATTCAAAAACTAAAAAGTTAACAATTTAATTTGCTAAAACCTTAAATGGCCATAAGGTGTGGGATTTTTCTCTCTGTGTCTGTCAATTTCTTCAACTATTTAAACGACAACTCGAAAATTGAAAAAATGGAATTCAAAGTTTAATTTTAAACAATAAAAAAATCGAAAATTGGGGCCAAATTTAATAAATCGATAATTCAATTTTATCAAAAAGACGAATGGCCATAAGGTACACGCATTAACCTCTACTTGCATTATTATGGCAGTTCCAAAAATCCTCAGTTGGTTCCCAGTCTTAACCGTGTGTAGCCTCAATGAATCATATGATATGATTGGCCCCATGTACAGCGTGACGTCAGAGGTCATGTCTGCCATATAGGACAAGACTACCACGGTACAAAAGACCAACTTTTGGGCTCGCTGTGGTTTTATTGCCCAGGTTTTCGCTAAACTGATATATTCGCCGAAAGGCGAAGTGAATATCGGGGAATATTTACCGAGACGCGAGTCTTCGAGCGGCGAGGTAAATATTCCCCAATAATCGCTAGGGCTGAGGCAAATAATTGTTTTAGTATAAATACACAGGTGATTCTTTCAAAAAAAGAAGAAGAAAAAAAAAAAAAAAAAAAANAAAAAAAAAAAGAAGATAAAAGGTATTTTATTCCGGTAACAGCAACAAAGCGGCTGGCCACCATTTTGGATTTTCGCTCGAGGTGATTATCGTGTGATAGTGCGAGTTTCTTGACCAATCAGCGCGCGAGATTTTCTATAATCACCTGCGTATTTTTACTAAACTAACATTATTCTTTATTTTTATACATATATATTTAGCATTATTAAGGTTTAAATATTATTCTAAATTATAGATCTGGTTACTGACATTATTATTACGAAGAATAGGATTTGATATATATTATTCAATAAAGTTATTATTATTGTTATTACTAAACCACAGGAACTCCACTAAATATTCACGCATGTGCAGTGAGCGGCCACATGCGAGTCATCGGATCGTCGTTTCCATCGGCCATTTTGAAGAACGTTACATGTAAAGAAATCTGGAAAATAACTGTTTTATTTGAAGAAGAAGGACCATGAATTGCTAGTGATAAAGACGAAAGGATAAAGTACGTTTTACATTGGAGCTGTTGGGAGCAGTAGACGACTTGGAGGTTGCTTTATCGCTCTTCATTTGGTCAGCTTGGCGTTCGGTAAAAACCATCTACGTTCTTCTTGTTGTTCGATGTATTTTGTTGCTATGCTTGGTGTCTTGTTGATAAACCTATCTTGCTGTTATACTTCAAAATCTCACTCCCCATGTCTTGAATCGATGATTTGGCACATATAGAATCTATAAATGGCATCGAGTAAGCCATTCATTCGTGCTGTTTGTGGCTGTTTTTCTTTCCAGAGTTTCTGTGGGCTTTTTTATGTATACTTCCCGCCGTAATGTGGAGAGTACTCCTATCTTCTCTAACTCACTTCACTTACAAATGAATTATCCGCATCTTTAATGACCTAGTGACATTAGTGTGAGGACGATTTGGGTGAAAACTATGGGCGCCCCCTGGATTTCCCCCCGGACTTCCTCAACAGGGAAAGTTTAGAATAATGGTATTTTTTATTATATCTGGGAAAGGTTGGTCCCATGATTTGTTCATATTGGTTCTTGCTGTATTTTTTTTCTCTTGTCCTTCAAGATTTCCGAAGACTCTGTTTTTTTGATAAACTAAGAATTGCTTTAATTGGTATTTATTAAGCAAAGTCACTATAAAATTCTTCTCATTGCTATAACACTCCTAACGTTTAATTGTGCCCTTCACCATATCTGCAAAAAAAGAAATGGTTTTACTCCATCAAATCAAATACACAGTGCAGTAATTCTGCTTTGGTGCTTTCATGATGTAGTTGGTTATTTCAGACAATTGATGGTTTTCACGTCAGCCATGTTGGAGGAATTTAACAAAAGAATCGTCAATGAATTCTTTTGTTATATCCTTTGACATGGCTGCCATGGGAATGGTTGAAAACCATTAATAAGCCATGATATCAAGACTTGTCAAACGGGTTCAGTTAATTGGCAGCAGTGTGGCATACAGAATGTTAGAACGCCAAAGGCTTTTTTTTAAATGTGATCATGTGTGAATCACCTTGAAAAGCGATATAGGAGATATTTACCAACTAGGAGGTCTGGGAAGGGAAAAACTGTGCCTGATGGCTTGAGTTTTCAATACCAAGGGCACAGTTTTTCCTTATTTGGACCAGCTTTAGAATGGTAAATAATTTTTTTCCATTTTTTTCTCCACTTGTTTTCATTATCATGTTTTGATGTTTAGCAATCTGGTATCCCTGGATACCAGACCACTATTAGAGATTAAAAAAATACTTCCCACTCCCACAGCCAATCAGAACACACGAATTTTAGGATATCCTACCTAGGCTGGGTAGACTAGAAACTACTTCATATTCAAAGTCTTATCACCTACATTAACATAAACAATATGGTACGATGATAATCACGAGGTACAGCCAAAATATCATTAACATACATTTCTTAGTTTGTTACTGCTTGAAAGCAGCGAGTGGCATAGGAAAATTTTCCTTGTTTCTCTGACATCCTAGCTTGAATGTCCTAGTTACATCAATCTCTTATCCTTGACCAACTTCTAACATATTTTATGTTTAAACAATATTATGTGTATTGTATGTGTTTCTTAAAATGTGTCTTAAACTAATATTATGAGACAATGTTTTTGTATCTTGCCTTTGCCAATGGCTTCATCCTCTACAAAGATGTTTCATATTGGTTACCTATTTAGTTACTTATGCCCACAAGTCCCTTAATTGATTTAACATAAGATAAAATGTCTGTAAAAGCCTCGAAAACTACCGAGAGAAAGCTAAACAAAGTTAGGAAGGTATAGAGAACAGAGGCTTGAAATCTGAAATCGTACAGAATTAAAAAAAAGTCATTACTCAGGAAGATGATACAATAGTGTATAACTTGTCTTAGCAAATAATAATGGTGCACTAGTGGACAAAAGCCAGTCAAATTAGTAATGATTACCAATTATTGGTCATTGGCTTTCCTAATGTACCAGAAAACCTACAATGTTTTTTTTAACTCTAATAAATAATTAGCTGTTATTTTTGAAATTTAAAAATATATATTTTTTATTTAATGAGGGTTGCACTAAGTAGCTACAAAGCTAAAAAGCTTGTGACCCTCAAAGACACATTAACCAAAAAGAGTCATAAAATGGCCTTTTGATTCTGAGATCAAATTAGAATCTAGAATTGTTGATATTTACGGAGGAAGAAAACAAGCAACTCTGTATCAAAAGTAGATGTTAGCAATCTCTTTAAAAAATTACTTTCTTCATAAGAGTGAGCATAATATTTCTATAACTTGTTAAAAACTATAATACTCTTGAGTATTTAAGTTAGAAAATTTAAAATCTTGATGAATTTTGTCATGTACACTATATGTGAATGTATAGTTTAGGAGACATCTGTGCTAAACTTCAGATCTGAGAAGGAATCGTTTTTACCTTTTTGGAAGTATTCATAAACAATAGACCTTTCTCACACAGCAGTCATGTCGTCTGGAACAATGGATTTTTTTCCTGGCTGGCCTAGCATTCAAGCGCTTCAGGATGAGTTTGAAGGGGCTGCCAGAAAGAAAGGCTTAGTTCTTGTGGAATAAACATAGCTGCTGTATGACAAAGGTCTAGACAGTTACATCAATCATTGCAAAAGTATGGATGTATTCTAACTACAGTGTATGCACAATGCACGAAAAATTGCTAATGTATCTTAGAGAATTGTATGAGTGAGTGCGTATATGTTAGTGTGGACAAATGGACAATATGAACGTAGCATTGCAACAGTGAGTTATATCAGAGAGTAAATGTTTGTGTTATTGTGTGTATGAGTGGAATGAATCCTATTTTACAAATGGACATTCTGAATGTTGCATAGCAACAATGAGTTGTATGAGTGAGTAAATGAATGTGTATATGTCTGTGTGTATGAGTGGACGGAATTCTATTTTACAAATGGACAATTTGAATGTTGCATAGCAACAATGAGTTGCATGAGTGAGTGAAGGTGTATATGTCTGTGTGTGTATGAGTCGAATGAATGCTATTTTACAAATGGACAATTTAAATGTTGCATAGCAACAATGAGTTGCACGAGTGAGTGAATGAGTATATGTCTGTGTGTGTATGAGTGGAATGAATGCTATTTTATAAATGGACATGATGAATGTAGCATTACACTAAAGTTAGCCTATGCGAGTACTTGATCTTCTGGTACTGCTGATCTTTGGATTTGCTCACCTACTCCAAAAAGGACCATTGTTATCCCAACCATATCTTGTGTCAGACAGGAAGAGAATCCTACCAAGTTTGGATACAGTGCTACGACGTTTGAAGCTGATATTAACATACATGTAACACTATACAAAGGATTACCATTTGAATTAGCTGTGGGATCAATGTTGTGAATTATCCTTATAGCACCTGACATTGGCTAAAGACTTTGTTAATACATTCACCTTGAATGCTTGGATCATTATTTTGATTGTTTCTGTTGGATTGACTCTTTGGTTCTCCTACAGGAACAAGAAACAAGCAAGGTAATATACAGTGTTTATTAATTATCTTCATTGGTGTGCTTAAGATAAATTATTGGGGAGATGTACATGTATGATCACTTTTATCACTGACATGGTGTACAGGGCTTAAAAAATTATAACGACTGGTCTTCCTCAAGGGATCCAGTGGATAAATTACTGGTCAAATTGTCTGGCAAGGCAAGGATTGAGCTCACTTAATATAAAAGCCAGTCATTTGCCATGACAAATTTTAATTACTTTTAGCCATACAATCAACTCTTATTACAGCGGACACTCTCAGGACTGTCACTTGGTGTCTGTAATAGCTAGTGTCAGAATTAATTATGGTCATTTTCTTGTCATTGTTTTTGCCAGAGATTTTGTTTCTGTCATTTAAAATATTGAAGTGTCTGAATATTGGGGTGTCCAGAAAAAGATAGTTGACTGTACTTGTTTCTGGCTCAACGTTGCTGGTCAAATTTATCTGGCAAGGCAATACAGTACTGCCTGAAATCATTGCAGCATGCGAACGCGTTTGTTTCGCGTCTTTACCGCGTGCGGTGAACGCAAACTGTACGCGGAATGGACGCGAATGGACGCGAATGGACGCGAATGGACGCGGTCAATACGCTCTTTCGTTCTTACTGCGGTTTATAGAACGTAGCATTTACAGTACATGTGCCGAGTACATTTGCAGTGAAAGTGCCCCAAAAACTAGACATCGCTTTTTAATCAAATGAGCAGCATTTTCTGAAAAACGTAGCATAATCATCGACCAAATGTACGTACATTTAGTCAGATAGTCTATTAATATGGAAGTTTGAAACTTTCGAATATTTTCGAAATTGAAATGTCGGAAATACTTGGAAGTTCGTCCATAAACTTCTATAACTACATGTACTGTAGTTATAAATAAACTGACCTCAAATTATTA